CACTCATTGTTCAACATTGAGTTGTTTAATTTCCATGTGTTTGATTTGTTTCTTGGTGTCTTTGTGTGATTCGCTTCTATCTTCAGTGCGTCGTGGTCTGAAAAGATTGTTGATACTACTTCTATCTTCCTGATTCTGTTGAGGTATGTTTTGTGGCCTAGCACGTGGTCTATTTTGGAAAATGTTCCATGTGCACTCGAGAAAAATGTGTATTCTTTCTTTTGGGGGTGTAAAGCCCTGTATAGGTCTATTAGCCCTCTCTCTTCTATTTCTTCCTTCAAAGCCAATGTTTCCTTGCTGAGTTTTGTTCTTGTTGATCTATTCAGAAGTGATAAGGCAGTGTTGAAGTCTCTGAGTACTATTGTGTTGCTAGCAATGTCCTCCTTAAAATCTGTTAGCAGTTGTTTTAAGTATTTAGCTGTTCCCTCATTAGGTGCGTATACATTTAAGAGTGTGATTTCTTTCTGTTGTACATATCCCTTAATAAATAGAAAATGGCCTTCGCTGTCCCTTCTAATCTTTTTCGTTCTGAAATTTATGTTGTTGGATACTAGTATGGCCACCCCAGCTTTTTTGAGGGAGCTGTTTGCTTGCAGGATTGTTTTTCCATCCTTTAACTTTGAGTCTGTTTGCTCTGACTGTTCGGATGAGTTTTTTGTAGACAGCAGAATGTTGGTTTCAGTTTTTGGATCCATTTTGCCACTCTGTTTCTTGATTGGTGCATTTAGACCATTGACATTGAGAGAGATTATTGTCATGGGTTTTGTGCCATCTTTCTGTAGGGGTTGGTTGTGCTTATAAGTGTTTCCTTCTTATCTTACAGGAGCCCCTTCTTTTAGGTTTGGTTTTGAGTCTATGAAGTTCCTGAGCTGTTGTTTATCTATAAAATAGTGTATCGTTCCATCGAGTTTGAGAGTTTAGCTGGATGAAATATTCTTGGTAAGGCGTTTATTTCATTGAGTTTTTTCACTATCTCACCATTGTCTTTGGGCTTGGAGGGTTTCCTCTGATAGGTCTGCTGTAAATCTAAGGGGTGCTCCTTTGTATGTGATTTCCTTCTTTGACCTTGCTGCTTGCAGTATTGCGTCTCTATCCACGTCATCCATCATTCTGACTATTATATGCCTTGGAGTGTTTTTATTAGGGTCTCTTTTAGCTGGCATCCTTCTGGCTCCTTGGATCTGGATGTCTGCATTCTTTAACTCTGGGAACTTTTCAGCAATGATTTCTTTTACTTTGGCTTTTTCATTGAGGTTCCTCCCTGTCCTTCTGGTACTCCAATGATTCTAATGTTGTTCCTCTTGGCGTCATCCCCTAGGTCTCTGATTCTCCTTAGATCTATTTTGAGGTCTTTTCCCATTGTTTGTTGTTCTCTATGTGATTTCTGTTGCTCATCTTCAAGCTCACTGATCCTGTCTTCGGCTGTAGTCATTCTACTGCTGAGGGCACCCACTGAGTTTTAAATTTCATCTACCAAATCCATTATTTGTGACACTTCTTTTTGTAGCTTTTTTATTTCTGCTCTCATTTCTTCCTGTATTTTCTTGACTATCTGTTCCACTGTTTCTTTAATTTCCTTTAATTTTCTGGATGTCTCCTCCGTTGGTTCTTTTAGTAGTTCTTTAAACGTCCTCAGCATTTCCTCTCGAAATTATTTATCAGGAAGAACATATTTGTGGGTAACCCCTGTTGAGGATTTGGACTCTTTTCTTTGTCCTCTCCTCGTAGTGGAGATTTGTGTTGTTTCTTCATGCTGTTGTGGTTGTCCAGAGGTAAAACCTTGGAATTCACTAGCACTATACCCTCGTGGGAAAGGATTCTGAATAAGGTTGGTCGATGGTGGTCACCCTTCTCCCCTTCTAGAATCTGCCCTCTCAGGCATTTTTCTGTGGCTTATGATGGGCATCTAGTGAAGCGTTGGAGGAGGTGTTCTTTTATATTGGGCTTGTACAGCTTCTTGCGTACTGGTCTTTTGTTGGAGTTGGAGTAGGCCAGTGGATTATTGTTGTATTGTGGTTGAGGCGCCCAGGACTTTTTCCACAGAATTAGGTGATAAAGGCTGGGATGTGAGTAGAGAGTGCTGGGAATGGGAAATATAACTGTGTCCCGTCACACAGAAGGCCATGCCCACTTTTTTTTTTTTTTTTTTGCTTTTTGGATCACACCCAGCAATGCACAGGCAGTGCTCAGGAATTACCCCTGGTGGTGCTCAGGGGACCATATGGGATGCTGGGAATCGAACCTGGGTTGGCCGCGTGCAAGGCAAATGCCCTACCCGCTGTGCTATTGCTCCAGCCCCTATGCCCACTTTTGAGGAGGCCATGACCCCTGCAATGGAGGCCACATGCCCAGCCAGTCCCAGGGACATGCTGACCTAGGAACCTGCGGAGGAGGGCAACGGTGCTGCGAGGTGGGCGGGCGGTCTGGGGGAACTCCGCAGGTGTTCCCCAAAGTCTCCTGCGGCTGCCCGGTGGTGGGAGTCCGGCCCTGGGAACGGGGCTTGCACATGGGGTGCGGGAAAGGGATATGCTCCCTGGCTCCCCAGTGAACCTGCAGAGGAGGGCAGCGCTGCAACAAGATGAATTACTGTAGTTTTTAGGACTGGAGAGAGAGAGTACAGCAATCAGCTGACTCTGGTTCGATCCCCAGCATCCCTTATGGTCCCCAAGCACCACCAGGAGTGATTCCTGAGTGCAGAGCCAGAAGTAATCCCTGAGCATCACTGGTGTGGCTCCAAAACAAAACAAAACACCGTAGTTGCTTAGAAGGGTTTCTAATGGCTCTCGTGTTCTGAGTGAGTGAGGTATATCAAGGATGGGGTTGGCTTCAAGCCCCTTCCGGCATCTGGTTCTATGCTGCACAGACTTTCCCCCAGGCCAACTTCCCCCATCCTCCAGTAAACACCCCATTCTTCCCTGGGGCCCCAGATGACTTAAAAATCAAAGTGACCTTGTCCTGAACTAGCCCAGGGCCATTACTTTCCTGATAACTGTCTATGTGATTTGAATTTAGAGGAAAACTAGTAGAAGTGGTTTTGAAGCTATAATTAAAAATTTCATTTGCCTTGGGCTAGCAGCTGTGGGTTGAGTGAGGTGTGAATGTGGGGTGCAGCTAAATTTGAGACAGGAGAGGGCGGGAGGGAGCCAGAGAGGTGGTGAGGGTGCCCTGGCCCTGGCTGGTGGGTATGAGACTGCAGGGAGGGCTTCCCTGACCCCTCCTGCAGGCCAGAGCTGGTCTGATTGGGAACTGGGTCCAGCAAGGGAGTGTGAGCTGGCTACAGCTGCACTACACACCTGAGGCGCCCGAGAGGCTCCAGCCCCAACAACTACAGTATGTTTTAGATAAAGCTGCAGTAAGACGGGAGGAATCTGTCCATGATAAAAAAAAAAAAAAGGTGGGGGGCGAATGATAGTACAGCGAGTAGGGTATTTGCATTGCATGTAGCTGACCCGGGTTCAATTCCTGGGATCCCATATGGTCCCCCAAGCACTGCCAAGAGTAATTTCTGGGTTCAGAGCCCAAGACGCTCCTATGGAGCCCTGGGAACCCTGCTGGCACCGTGCCATGGGGTGAGCAAGTGTCTCCTGCTGAGGGCACAGGTGACCAGCAGAAAGGGGAAGAGCCATCCTTCAGTGCTGGGGTGTGCAAGTGGCTCCCCCATAACACTGAGGTTCCCGCTGGCACTCAGAAGCCAGCATTGTCGCCAGCAGGTGTGAAGGTGATGGCAGTGCCCTGGGTCTGCCATGGGTCTGCTGGCAGGATTCCTGCGGGGCCTCGGTCTCCCGAGTCAGGTGGAGAGCAGAGGGCCCCCACACGGGACTCCTTCACACTGGCTCCCCTACTCCCTTTTTCCTGGCCGTGTCTTCAGCTAATACACAGAGCTTGTTTGGGGTCCAGTCTGAAGGTTTGGGCGCCAGGTCCGCTGGACAAGTGACCCATAGGTGGGAAGCTCTCAAGGTGACATTAGTTGCAGTCCCCATGGGTGGTGGGGCCTGGTGCAGATTTACTCAGGCAGGAGCCATGCTCGCTAGTCACTGCCTGTTTGCCCCTCTCTGCCTTTGTTGTCGTCACCGCCCGTGGCACTCGGCTGTGGTACTGAGGCACCCACACGTGCTCTGGGGTCACACTTGTGCTCTCCATGTGCACTTGACTATACGGCACCTGCTGCCAGTCCCCATGGCAGTGCTCTGTCATAGGGGTCCCACAGCTGGCTGCCCTGCCCTTTGACCCTGTGCACCTATTTCTGGCCTAAAGCTCAGAATGGAAAGGCCAAGCCAGGGAGAGGATGCAGGGCCAAGGGGACCCTGGTTCTCTCTCCCTCTCCCATAGCATAGTAGCCCCACCCAGTGCACTATCAGGTGTAGTCCGGGAGGCCTCTGATTGCCCCTAGGGTGGTCCTGGATGTCCCCAGCAGGGCAGGGCCTAAGCAGTACCACCTCCTACCTCCTCTGACCCCAGCATTGACCCGCTTGGCCAGATTGATTATCTCCGAGAGTGACCCCAAGCCCCCAAGCACTGCCTGCAAGACTCCCCACCCCAGAAAAGGATTGGAAAGCCTGGTGTTGATACTCTCCAGAGGGGCTGTGACGAGGTCAAGGCAAGTGTCCTAGCCCTGGAATGCATCCTGTGGCCGAGATTCACTCCCTGGTGTGTCTTCTAAGAGCCCCTGGACAGACTGAAGTTCACAGAGATCAACCCGAGCTGCCCAGGGTCATGGGTGTGGATCCCATGTGTGCAGACACTCCTACCTCAGGCCCTTTCTCAAGCTGGGGATGCAGGGACACGTGACACTATTGCTAGCCTGCGGTCCTCTCCAGCAGTGCTTCATACCTGACTCCTTCCTGAGCTCCCACGAGGTGCCCATAGGTGCCAAAGGATGCCCCCCTGTGGGCGTTTTAGCATCGGCCTCTGGCAGGCACGGTCCTGCGAAAGTCCTTGCAGTCTGCTGAGGGCTGACCAGGAGGCAGCCTTGCTCACTCTGCCCCACTCTGTCTTTCCAGGGAAGTGAGGGAGCTGACCCTGCCTTTGCTGATGGCGAGCTCATCCACAGAGAGCCCAGCATCTTCCCTGAGGACGCGGAGGAGGCGATGACACTGGCGCCCCCCGAGGGCCCCCTGGAGCCTGACCTGGACAGTTCAATGGAGGCCACCCAGAACCTGGAGGGGCCTGTCGGGAGTCCCCCTGAGGAGAAGGACGGGGGCCTCCGGGGCCTGTTTCTGCCGGAGGACAAGTGAGTGAGAACTGGTGCTCACATTCAAAGCAATTTAAAAGCTTTACACACCATTAACCATGGGATTAAGCAGCTGACTTAATCCCATTAAGTGTGTGGTATGGGGTGGGAGGGGGTTATGATCTATGAGTTTTTTTTAAATCAAGGTGACAGAAGTAACCATGTGTCCATCTTAGTTTTATTTTAAAACAAACAAGAGAACAGGACAGGGCTGTGACTCACAGTAGAGTGGATGGGGGAGGCCCTGAGTTTGATCCCCAGCACTCCCCCTCCCCCACCCCATCCCCTAAAAGCCAGAGAAAATATATTAAGAAAGGCCTCCAAACAACTACTGCCAGGGTCAGGATATGGACCTGGCACCATCTGTCCCCAGCACCACAAAAACATTGCAGGGTATAAAGTAGTTTTTTGAGCCTGGAGGACCGCTGCCCATTCTAAGTGCCCTCTATTCATGCACCCTCCCAGCTGCCCAAAGACGGGGGTCACCTGTGCCCGTCAGCAGAGATGTCCCTTCTCAACTGCCACACAGTCTCTGGAGGGAAGTCAGGATGGGGGTATTCCCAGCCAGCAAGAGGCGGTGTCGTGACTGCCTGGAGAAGGAGGCGGGGGGTGCTCATATCTGGCAAACCGCATTAATGACCGTTCAGTCTTCAGTACAGACTGTTTTGTCATTTGCCTAATATGGTATCTATTGTGGCTTCTCAAACTCAGGTTTGATCTTTTGCACTCCGTATGTTCTCCCTGAACCCCTCCAGGAGTGTTCCCTGAGTGCAGAGCCAAGAGGAAAGAAACCCTGATGTAGACCCAAAACCAAAAAATTAAAAAATTAAAAAAAAATTTTAGTAAAGTTTAGAAGACGGAACTGAGGACTAGGATTGATTCTGTCTGAGCTGCTGAGGGCAGAGGAGCAGTAAGTAGGGAGACTTGCTTCCTGCACTGTCAGCACTGGGGGTTGTTGGGCCATACCCAGCGCTGCTCAGGGCTTACTGCAGGACCTTCTCAGGGATCGCTCCTGGTGGTTCTTGGGAGACCTTTTAGGGTGCTGGGGATCGAACCTTGTCTGCCAGCAAGACAAATGTCCTACCTGCTGTCCTACCTCTCCGGCCCCTGTTACCCATATTTTGCATCAGCCTTGCAGTGATGGTTGGGTCACATCTATGGGTAGGGTTGCTAAGGGAGGGTACAGTTGCCCCTGGCATTGGGCACACCACCAGCTCGCAGCTGTGATTTGCTGCTCTGTTTGGCGCCTCTAGAGTGGCGTTGCTCGGAGCCTCTCGTGCAGTTTCTGTGATGAGTGTGTCCCTTGGGTCACTATCTCCAGGGTGTCGCTCCCAGGTGTCGAGGGAGAGATGCCTCAGTCTCCTGGTAGTTGTAGTGCGAGGGTCTCAGGAGGGGCGCCCCGGGCACCTTCTCTGACCGTGTGCACGGTGACCCACAGGTCGCTGGTGCACACGCCGTCCGTGACGCCGTCAGACCTGTCCACGCACTCCACTGCCTCGCTCCTCAGCAGCGAGGAGCAGTTTGAAGACTATGGGGAGGGGGACGATGTGGACTGTGCCCCCAGCAGCCCCTGCCCCGACGACGAAACCAGGACCAACGTCTACTCGGACCTGGGCTCTTCCGTGTCTTCCAGGTGACCCCTGCTCTGCAGTTGGGTGGGGGGCTCCAGCCGCTCCCGGGTCTCAGACTGGCAAAGGCCCGACGTCTGGGACGCCATTCCTGAGGCTCAGGCCTGCGGTCTTTGCCTGCTGGGGTTCAGGGGCCCCACTGCCACCCTCAAAGGTCTTTGCGGTCCGGCTTCCTGTAGCCCTTCACCTCTCCAGGGGCCCTGCTGTGCACTGCCGCTGCTTCCCGGAGGCCCCCACAGGGTGGGGGGTCTGTGGTGCTCAGCACGGGGGTCTGGAGCTAAGGGACTCCCTTCCCCTCCGGTCAGTGCGGGACAGACCCCCAGGAAGACGCGGCACGTGTACAACAGTGAGCTGCTGGATGTGTACTGCTCCCAGTGCTGCAAGAAGATCAGCCTGCTCAATGACCTGGAGGCCCGGCTGAAGAACCTGAAGGCCAACAGGTGAGGTGCGGGGACGCGGCCTGGGACCGCAGGGAGCAGTGGCTGCAGGGCGACTGCACTCACGTGGGCTGCTGCTCCAACCTGCGTGTGGGTGCGAGCCTCTCTCTGCTCAGCCACTGTCTCTCTCCCTCTCTAGCCCCAACCGGAAGATCTCCAGCACAGCATTCGGACGGTAAGGCCCCTGGAGTGGGGAGCGCGGGGCTGGGCTCCAGGGTGTCCAGAGGGGGGCCACTGCTGACAGCAAGGACCACTTCCTCCCCATCCCCACGCCCAGCAGGCAGCGGGCAGGCGGCAGCTCCCCGCCTCAGCTTCTGCTCTGTCCCAGAGATCTCTGGTGTCTGCTGGTGGAGCTGGGCGTTTGCTCCAGGCAGCCCTGCCTCCTCCTGCCCTAGACTCCAGCATCCTGCCCTGCTGCTCCAGCGTGCCGGCACCTGCCAGAGAGTCGCCAGGAGCTGGGGTTGGACAGGAGGCCATGGCTGTTCCCTCAGGGCTGGCACACGCCCGCTCCCACCTGCCACATGCTGCCCTGTGCCTCGTTCCCCTGGGGCTCCCTAGAGATGCAGTAGACACAGCTGGGGGGCAGGCATGGGTCCTGCTGGGCCTGTGGGGCCAGACTACCTCCTGCCAGGGTGGGGTGTGCTCCCCTGTCTGCTCGGGTCACAGCACCAGCACAGGAAAGTTCTGAGCTGGGGGTGTGGTGCTCCGGAGGGGCCCGGTGGCCAGTCTGCCGAGCACCCCCTGAGTCCTGCCCCGCCCACAGGCAGCTCATGCACAGCAGCAACTTCAGCAGCAGCAACGGCAGCACCGAGGACCTGTTCCGGGACAGCATCGATTCCTGTGACAACGACATCACCGAGAAGGTGGGCCCGCGTGTGGCGAGGGAGCCGGGGGTCATCCGCAGCCCACTCAGGACCCTGTTCTCTTTGTGCGCTGTCAGCAGTTCAGAGCCCCGCTCTTACTGTGTTTGCTGCGCCCCGGTCCTCTGGGTTCTCACTGTCCCATCTCTGTCCGCCATGGCAGGTGAGCTTCCTGGAGAAAAAGGTGACAGAGCTGGAGAATGACAGTCTCACCAACGGGGACCTCAAGAGCAAGCTGAGGCAGGAGAACACACAGCTGGTGCACAGGTCAGAGCGGGGACAGGGGAGGCTGGAGTCAGGACTGAGGGGGATGAGGAGCCCTCCCTCCGCCTCTCATCTGCAACTTAGGGCAGGAGAGGAGGGCGATGCCTGCTGGGGGGGGGGGGGGGGGGGGCTGGTGGCACAGGGTGACACCCTCAGGCTCTCACCAGCAGGAGGGAGTGTATATGCCTGAAGCCTGGTGACTGACCCCCACCCCAGCCTCCGCTCATCCTTGAAGGGTGCAGAGCCCAAAGGATCAGTCAGGGATGGACAGACGGTTGCCAGCAAACTCTGCTCCAACCTGCCGGGTGGGTTAGACTCCAGGGCTGGCACTCGTCGCCAGCTGGGGCCTGCGTGCTTTGAGCGTCCAGGCAGCAGGGCCCCTGCAAGGTGCTGGCTGGGAAAGAATAAGATAGAAAGAGATAGTGAGACCCAAAGCTGATTTTGCAGCATGTGGAGCCTGGCGCCCCTGCCTTGAGGCCCATGTTCTCGGGCACTGCCCCCCTTCCTCGGGACCCACTGCTGGCGCATTGTCCCTTGGTGGTTTGTATGACTGACACATCTCCCTTGATATTGTGTCCCAGCCCACTGGTCAGTCGTGCCGCTGGCACTTGGGTGTCAGGGTCCCGGGCCCCAGTGGCCCTCCAGATAGAGTGAGAAGACGCAAGCAGGCGAGCTGGCCCCAGACTGGAGTGTGCGTCCCCCTTGCAGGGTGCACGAGCTGGAGGAGCTGGTGAAGGATCAGGAGACGACAGCGGAGCAGGCCCTGGAGGAGGAGTCCCGGCGGCACCGGGAGGCCTACAGCAAGCTGGAGCGGGAGAAGAACACGGAGATCGAGCTGCTCACTGCCAGGTGGGCGGCCAGCCTTTGCCCGGAGCCCCGACTCTCGGGGCCAGAGCAGTGTCTGTGCTCACAGCCGGAAGCACACTCATGGGCCCTCAGGAGTCTGTGTACTTTGTTCCTATCAGCTAGACTGGACACAACCTCTCTGCTAGTGGGAGAATAGGGAAAACCAAACAGTAGTGGTCCAAGCATAGTCCCGGGCAGGCAGGGCGCTTGCCTCACACATGGCCAACCTGGGTTTGATCCCCATATGGTCCCCCCAACACCACCAGGAGTAACCCTGGTGCATTGCTGGGTGTGGCCCCCCCAAACAGAATAGCAGCAACAAAACCCTTTCTGTTTGGGTTTGGCCATCATAAGTCTTTCCTTCTAGTTTGTGATGCATTTTGCAGTGGGGACCCTGGGGCCACCACCAGTGACACCAGAGCCCTCCCACTGGAGTCCACCACCTCAAGGTAATGTCCAGCCCATCTGCTTTTCTTCAGCATCTGCAGAGCTCTTGCCAGGGTCACGGAGCCACCCCATACCCATGAACCCTTGCCCATTGCCTTGGCCTGCTCTTATGTATGGCCTTGGAGCGCCCCCTGCTGTCGTGTCCTCCCCAGACCCAGGGAAAACCAGTGCCTGCCCCTGCCTGCAGATCCCCAGCTGCTGGCAAAGCCCTTGGCACCGGGGGTGGGCACGGTGAGGCCACCAGGACTCGGGGTAGACCAGGGCTCCTCATGTTCTAGAGCTGCTGTTTGCGTTGTTTCTGAAGCTGGTAACTCATTAGGAACCTCTCCTTCCACCTAGTGGCTGGATGTGCTGTCCAGCCTGAGAGACCAGGAGGCTGAGACGTGGGCAGTGGGCCACACAAGGCCAAACACTGACACTGACCCCCTGGGAGCTGACTCTTGGCCCCTGATCCTCACCATGGCCGCTCTGCCTCTAGGGCCCTGCACTGTGCTCACTGGCTCTAGTCTCTGGTCAGGGGGCTTGTCACCACATGGAGCCTGACCTGGGGGCCTCTCCAGGAAGCCCAGTGGACAGTGTCTGTCTGAGGAGTCAGTGACAGTGGGAAGGACAAAAGACCATGGGCCTCTGCCAGCAAGTACCCTGCTCCTGCAGTGCCCTGGACAGCCAGCCCACCTGGGTGGCACCACCCTGTCTTCTCACGGACTCGCCTTTTGGACCCTCTGTGGGAGTGTCATAGAGGGCACTGCCTTTGGGAATGCGGCTCATGGGTGCCAGGTGGCCTGGTGAGCCTGGAAAGAGTTCGGGAGATGCTGATGAGGAGCAGGCGAGCTGGACATTACCTTGAGGCAGTGGTCTCCAGTGGGAGGCATCCTCCCCCACACTTAGCTGGACTTCCTTGCCCGCCCCATCCAGTTTCCTGCTCTAGGATACATACAGAAAGGATTTTAGGTCACAAATGAGAATTCCCTTTTGTCTAAAATATTTTTTAAAAGGTAATTTAGTGTTTTTTTACCAAAAAGTAAATGACAGGGAAGCTCTAGCCTGTATTACTGTTGTGAAGAATATTCATCATTGACTCGTTCTCCCATTCCTCCACCTCCTAGTTGCAGAGGGTCATCTCTGGTGAGGTCATCTGTGCAGCTGATGTTGTTGCCCTTCTTTCCCCAGGGTGCAGCAGTTGGAGGAAGAAAACTTGGACCTGACCACCACCGTGGCCCGGCTCAGGTCGCAGACAGAGAAACTGGATGAGGTAAGCAGGTGATGGCACCCACAGTGGCAGTATTGGCGTCACATCTCTCCCTCCCAGTCTAAAGTGGCAGTATTGGCATCACATCTCTCCCTTCCAGTCTGAGATGCATTTTGCTATGGGGGCCCTGGGGCCACCCCCAGCGACATTACTTGGCCGTAGGAATCAGTTAGTGTTTGGGTCCAGTGAGGCTGTCGAAGGCCTCCAGAGCCACACCTGGAGACCATGAAGTGCCATAGTTAGAACCAGGGGCCTTTGCATGCAAGTTGTACATGTTCCGGCCCATTCAGCTGTCTCCCTGGCCAAGTTCCTGAGGTGCTAATAAAATTTCTCTACTTAAAATACGGGTGGAGGGGAGCCAATCAAATATGAGCAGTAGTCAGTCTTTGTACCGAGTTTGTCTGTCCAGGATGTATGCACATGGGGTGGGTAAATTTAGATCTTGATCTGCCTCCTTCCATTCACATTCTAACTGGCAGCCCTAAAGGACTGCAGAGACTTCAGTGGTGTTCTAGAATGTGACCGAAGGGCTCTGTCCTGGGAGGCCACCCTGACTGCCCCTTTGTCAGTGTGGCTCTCAGACGCCCAGTGAAGAGAGCCCCTGGGGAACCTCTCCCCACTGACCCCGCTCCCTGACGGCAGGAGCGGCAGCGCATGTCAGACAGGCTGGAGGACACCAGCCTGCGGCTCAAGGACGAGATGGACCTGTACAAGCGCATGATGGACAAGCTGCGGCAGAACCGCCTTGAGTTCCAGAAGGAGCGGGAAGCCACGCAGGAGGTGGGTCCCCAGGCCGGAGGACCCCGAGCCCACCCATACCTCTGCTCCTGCCAACCCTCTCCCCTCCTCCCCCACAGCTCATTGAGGACTTGCGGAAGGAGCTGGAGCACCTGCAGATGTACAAGCTGGACTGTGAGCGACCGGGCCGGGGCCGCAGTTCATCCTCCGGCCTGGGTGAGTTCAATGCCAGGGCCCGCGAGGTGGAGCTGGAACACGAGATCAAACGGCTCAAGCAGGTGAGCCCTTGGGCCCCCCCCCCCCAACCACCTGCTGCTACAGCGCCGTCTTCCCCCGTTTCCCACCTGCTCCTCTCAGCCCTGTCTCCCTGTTGCAAGGCCCAGGGGCCTTCCTGTCCAGAGACCAGGACGCCACTCCAGTCCCTGGTGCAGGGGTGGAGAATGAGACTCGCCTGTTGGGGTCTCTGAGGAGCCGACCCTCGGGCCCAGGGTTCTTTCCCACAAGACTCTGTTTCATCATGGAGACCAGTGAGGAGTTGGGGCAACAAAGAGTAGAGGCACTGACGGCCTCTGACCACCCCAGGCAGGGATGGGCGCCCCCACTGCAGTCCCGACCCACCCCAGCCCGTCTCTTGCCCAGGCAGGTGTCCAGCTGTTGGGAGCTCCAGGCAGAAGTTGGAGGCGGGTTTACTTTCTTGGCCCTGTTCTCTCCCAAACACGGATCTTGTTTGTTTTTGTCTAAGTGTCTGCTTCCTCTTTCAAGCTTGTGTTCTCTCTTGAATGTGTGTTCTTTCCTTTTACTTCTTCATCCCTCCACATCTTTCTAAATACGTTTTGTTCAGTAAAAAATATTTTGCTTCAATGAACAGAATTAAAGATCTGGAGCTAAGGGGCTAGTAAACAGGGTCTGAGTTGGGCGCGATGGTGCCAGCTACCCTGGAGTAAGGATGCCCCACAAAGAAACGGTGGGATTCCTGAGCAGATCTGCTCGCCTAGAGCCCCCAGCAGCTGCTTTCCTCTCTGAGGCAGCTGTTGAAGACCCAGCCACTGGGGACCATTTCCCCCACCCCCTATAGCCTCAGGGGCACTTCTGCGAAGGCTGGCCTCCCTGAGTAGGGTTGTCCCTTCTTCCCAGAACCTGCGGACTCCTAGGCTCTAGCCCTGTGTCCCCCAGAGGAACGGAGGCTATATGTCAGGGTGTCGGGATTGGCAGGACTCGGGCCCCAGGTGGTGGGAGATGCCAAAACGCGGGTCCCCAGTGTTTCTTGGAGTTGACTTTGCCTTCGTCCTGTTTCCAGGAGAATCATAAGCTGCGAGATCAGAATGACGACTTGAATGGACAGATCTTGAGCCTCAGCCTCTACGAAGCAAAGAACCTCTTTGCCACCCAGACCAAAGCGCAGTCTCTGGCAGCGGAGATAGACACGGCCTCCCGTGATGAGGTGGGCGGCCCCTGCCCTGGCACCCTGACCTCCCGCATCCCCCATACCTGGCATGCGGGCCAGAAGCCGAGTGCAGCTCGGGGCTTGGTTCTGTCAGAAACCCTCTAGAAATGGCCCACGGAGCCTCCAAGGGCCACCCGAGGGTGGCTGAAGGACAGGGACAGGCTTGTCTCAGGCCACTTGCTTGCCACATGTTCTCAGCCTCTGGCAACTCTGAGCAGTCGCATGTCACAGGAAACAGGGCCACTAGCTGGTGGAACTGAGGGTCCTCACGCTGAAGCCCACTTTCTGCCCTGAGAGGTGTGGGTATAAGTGACCATTAGTCCTCCGAAGCCCCCTGGTTAGGTTGTCACATGAGCATAGCCTTTGCTCTGGGACACGAGCTCTGAGTTGTCTCGAGCCTCAAGTGTCTCCCAGGTGAGCCGGACAGCATTTTGGTGGCATCCCAAAAAAAATAACGTGAGGGCTTGGCTGAGAAGGCAGTGCCGGGCCCAGAGTGGCACTGGGGCCTTTCCTGGTGGAGGAAATGACTGGCAGCCTTTCATCATGCCCCAGAGCCTGGTGACGGAGGCCTCGGCATACCCTGGACTTTGCTGGACCAACCCAAGCGCTTGGCTTCCTGGCCATCCTGATCAAAAATGTCTTTGTCCCATGTTCTCAGCTTTTGCTGAAAAATAACCCAAACCTGGACCCTCCACATAGCAGTGAGAGCCGAACCCCAGAGGTGCAGGCTGCTGGATTGTCTTCCTGGCCTCTGTCTGCTGAGTTTGACTTTAGTGGGCTGGTTTTTTTCTTTTAATTTTTAAATTTCAAATTTATTATCTTTTTTTTTTTTTTTTTTGCTTTTTGGGTCACCTGGCAATGCACAGGAGTTACTCCTGTTTCATGCACTCAGGAATTACTCCTGGCAGTGCTCGGGGGACCATATGGGATGCTGGGAATCGAACCTAGGTCAGCTGCGTGCAAGGCAAACGCCCTACCCACTGTGCTATTGCTCCAGCCCCTCAAATTTATTATCTTTTTACTCAATTTTACTTCTGGTCCTGGAGTCCCAGATGATCCTTGAGACTCCGGGTCACCTGCCTGGCCAGAAGGTCCTGGCTTTCCTTTCACCCCGGCCACTGAGCAGGCTCACTGCCAGTGGGAATCTGGGCTCTGACCAAGTCCACCCGAAGCAGCCTCTGACTGGCCTTTCCCATTCATTCCCTTCAGCTCATGGACGCTCTAAAGGAGCAGGAGGAGATCAACTTCCGGCTGAGACAGTACATGGACAAGATTATCCTGGCCATCCTGGACCACAACCCGTCCATCCTCGAGATCAAGCACTGAGAGAGAGTGGGATGCTGGCTGAGAGAGGCCTCCCGATCCCTGGGGCCTGGGCACGCCTGCCCAAAGGTGTGGCCCCGCGGGCCTCGTGCACACCGTCAGTGTATCTCTGGCCACCGTGGGACGTGTGCGCGCGCGTGCGGGAGGCTGTGTGCAGCGTCCGGGGGGAGCAGGCGTGGCGGGGTGTCTGCACCATTCCTTTGCCCTTCGTGCACTTTGGCGTCTGGCTGCAGGAGCATCCGCCGTAGGGAGTTCCTGTAATGAGGTGTGGAAGCTCATGTTTGCGGAACTGGATGAAATGATTCTACCTCTGGGGATAAGGATTAAAACTACTCTAATAAGACACATTTTCACCTGTCCCTTCCCCCCGGGAGTGGGAACAAAATGATCCTCTTTTTCCTGGACTTGAATGCCCAACAGCCATGTCCTTGCCAACTTCTTTGGCTACTTTCCCACCCAGGTGCTCGAGCCCAGTGTGGAGGGCGGTGTGTGTGTGTGGTGGGGGTTGGGGGGCAAGCTCAAGAGTCCTGGCTTCAACCCTCCTGGGGGACTGGTGCATGGTGTGTCCCAAGGCCCCAGGCTGGTGGTGGGAGGCTGAGGGTTAGTGCATTTTAAGAGAGTTCTCTGGTTCTCTGCAGTTATTTGTCCCTAATCGCCTCCCTCCTCTTTGCACTTAGTTTTTAAGAACTAGGAAAGGGGGCCGGAGCTGTGGTACAGCTCGGGCAGGGAGCTTGCCTTGCACATGTCTCCACCTGGCTTTGATCCCCGGTACTGCATTTGGTCTCCAGGGCACTGCCAGCTGTGGGCCATAAGCAACAACAACAGGACGGAGGTAAAGGGAAGAGGTAGGGAGGGCAGTGGGGTGTTTGCACGCTTGGCATCTAGCACAGACATGATGGGGGAAGCGCACACTCGTGTCTCATGAGTGTCCTTCCCGCAACTGCAGACTGCCAGAGGTGTCAGTGGCCCTGCACAGACCCCGCCTGGGAGCATGGGCGCTGGGTTTGCACTTCCCTAATCAGAGCTCTGGGTTCAGCTCTGCTTTGAAGCCAGTCCTGGGCCCAGGGTTTAGAAATGTCTGCACACTCAGCCAGGGGGCACCATGCTGTGTGTGTATGTAGGGGGGAACCCTCAATTTTCTATCCTCGTGGCCCGTGGTGCATCCACACCGCTGGTTTTAACATGCTTTTGTGCTTGTTAGCACAAGCACAGGCTGCTGGGAGTCCGTAGACATTGGCCTTTCTTCTTCTTTTCCTATTTGTCTCACTTTCATGTGGCTCGGCATCACTTCAACTGTTGAAACAGATGAGAGCACAGAGGGGCTTACTGGTTTTCCCTTCAGGTTGGTTCCTTCAGTTCCTGGCATAGAAAGGAAATTGAGGTGTGTTGGGAAGAGACAACAGAGCATGTGTGCGGAGAAGGGGCATGGCAGAGGTCTGGGGCACGCGTTTTGTAAGCAGTGGGGTTGCATTGGTCTGATGCGGGACCTTGGGGCTACCACCCCCACCCCCTAGGAGACAAGGCTTGCATACCAGGATGACAGTGGTATTCCCGGGGGGGGGGGTTACCCTAAGGGGCTGAGAAGAAGAAGTGGTAGAGGAAAGAGGGCAAGAAAAGTGGTTGTCGCGAGAATTCCCTGAGTGGGGGACAAAGAGAGGACTTCCTACATGGCTTTGGTTGAGGTGCCGTTGGAAGGCAGCCTGCAGAGAGAAATTGGCCAGGTCAGTGCCCCGGTGAGGAGCACTGAGATGCACCCTTGGAACTCCAGAGAAGGCCGCAGAAGCTGAAGTGGCACCAGGCCATATATGAGGAGACCGGGGACAGGAAAGCTGGCAGCTGGCTTGGCTCCTGCCCTCCCTGGAGAGGAGGGGTGTCGTGGGCAGCTTGGGTCTCTGGCGCAAGGCCACCTTTCAGACAGAGTAGGCCCAACCTGTGGAACTGGCTTTTTAAGATGAAGTATCCTTCAAATGCTCTGCTGGTGTCTGAAATCCAGCTTGTGAGGGGTCAGGATCCCAAGCTGGCCCCGCCTTTTGTTGAGGTTCAGGTGAGAACGCGGCTCTTGGCCTCAGTCAGGGTTGCTGGGTCAGATACAGTATGTCCTTTGAGTCGAAATTGTTCTGTGCAAAACCCTCTGGGTAGATTGAAACTTGGAAGATAGATGCATCTGTGCTGACCCCTCTGGTATGGGGACGCACCCGAGCCGTCAGGGGCTTTTAAAGGCACCCTCACCCCTACCCCCTCACCTCAGATGGTCAAACTGGGGTTTGTTTCTGCTAAAGGGCAGAAGAGACTTGTCTGCAGTGTGGAGTGCTTTTCTGGGCCGGGGCATATCCAGTGGGAACTCGGGGCCACATTTGCCGACCTCGGTGTTGGGGTTTGTTTTAAACCAAAAGCCAAATGCTTTTATTTAAGAACTAGAGAGCAGAAGGTACCCCATAAAGTAAAAGGAAGGAATTCCGCACCCCGAGCTAAAACGCAGCCAGTTGCCAAACAGCGAGTGCACCGGAAACAAGCTGCTCCTGCAGAAACTCCTGTCCTGTCCCTGGGGAAGAGAGGAGAAATGTTTTTAAATTTCCGTCAGGGTTGGGCCCAAGTCATTTGACTTTCTTTTGTAGATTATTTTGAGGATTGTCTTGACTTCATTTCTCAACTTCTAAAAATACTGAGCTCAAGAAGCACCTGGAGCTGCACAGCAGCTCTCAGCTGGACTGTGTGTTGGAATCCTTAGGAGATTCAGTTGAGTTGACCGGGCGAATCCCCCAGACTCTTAATTTAATTGGAGTGGGTGTGGTACCTAGATGCTTCGAGAGCTTCCGAAATGCAACCTCAGAAACAGCGGCTCCTCCATGCCCAGCTGAGTGGGAGAGTCTGGTGGGTTTGCCTGGTTCTGGGGGGAGGGCGCGGGGCGGGACCAGGACCGCCCCACCCTGCCTGGGCAGGTTTGGCCTCCAGCAAGCCAGTCATGCCAGTGAGGAAGAATAAGTGGTAAAGCCTCCTGGGCTCAGTGGGTTGTGGGGACCTGGGGGGACATGGGGCTGCTGTTGTGCCCAAGTGTAGGGCTTTACTGCGGTCGGCCTTTTTAAACCCAAAGTGGACATTGGGTGGGACTAGCGCAGGAAATACTCAGGTTGTTCCCTGACAGATGGGCAGTGAATTTGCAAAGAGGGGCTTCTGCAAACCTTCAGTGCTGACATCCCTCATTGTCATCCTCCATGGGGACCCTCCAGAGCAGCCTCCTCTCGGGCCACGCTTCCTGTTGGTAGGGTGAGTCCTCTCTAGGCCTTGGGTCACAGGCCACACGTCCCTTCCCTGCACTGACCTCTGGGGTCCTGGGCCTCCATCCTGCTCTGAGCGTGTGAGGTTGAGTGAATGGGACGGGAGAGGCTGACTTGGGGAAATGGGAAACCGCTGCTTTCTAGAAAGGGTGATTTCTCAAGACCTGGTGGGTGCCGAGCTCAGATGCTGGTGCTCCAACCTTGTAGGCGGCGCCTCATTGGGACTGGCCCTGGGAGGTGACGGGAAGCGGCAGCCCGAGGCCCCTGCTGTAGGAGGGGGGCACCGGGCCTCATGCTGGGTCTCTCTGCTTTGCTCTTCTGTCTGCATGGTTTGGGGTTGTCCTTGTGCCTTTTTCCTCCGTTACCCCTGTACAGGACATTTTCGTGTTATTACTGCCCCCTTTCTTAGGTCTTGCCCTGAGCCCTGTAAATGTATACAGACTGTCCGCTCAGGCCGGCCTCAGCGGGATCAGGCTTCGCTTCCCCACGCTCCCTCAGCCTGCAGCAGACGTGTCGCTTGTTCAGAATTGGATGCTTCCCTGTGCTCCAGAGGAGGGGGACTGCGGGAAGCACCTGGCCCCGCAAGTCTCCTGTGGGGTGTCAATGTGAAGAAATAGGGCAACCCCTTCAGCTGGGGCGTTGGCCTGGCAGAGGTGCCTGCTATCTGCATCAGGGCCAGTGCCCCTCAGAGGATGCACTTCCAGCCCCAAGAAGCGGAGTGGGGCTTCACGACCCCCTTCATGCCGCCGGGGCTCAGGGCCACTTCCGTTGCATAAGCAGATGGGTTTGAGGGCCCAAGTGGGTAGAAGGGAGACACTCTCACTGCTTCCCACCTGCCACTGGCCGCCAAGCAGCGTGTCCCTCTGCCGCCTGCGGTGCTCACACTTGACTCTGACGGTGCCATTGACTTCCCTAGGGATGTGTGCTGCTCAGTTGTGCACTTGCTGGGACCACCTCCCTCCCTCCCCGCAGCCAGCTCCTTGCTTGCGGCTGGGCCTTGGGCGCAAGCAGAATAAGCGATGCTGGTGACCTTGTGCCCAGGGTTCTGTGCTTTGCCTCCCCATGGTTCTGCGGGTGGTCTGCGCCCAGAACCCCCGTCTGGAGGCAGGCTTAGGTTTGGGACCAGGAAAGTCCTGCACCTCAGGGTGAGGAGTGTGTATGCTGAGGCCTCGCGGCCATGTCCCAGGGCACCCAGATCTTTGCCTCTAGCCTGCTTTCATCCAGAAAGGGGCAGCTTTCAGAAGCAGTGTAAATAAACCCTCTGCTTTCCCACTTGACTTGGTGGTAAATTTCTCTGTGTGTATGTGTCTGCGTGGGGGTGGGGGGAGTGTGGGGGCAGAGCAGGTAGCTCATTGCGGGGTGCCAGGGTTTCTGGGGTCCCTCTGAAGACCGCTGCCATCCCTGGAGAGGAAGTGTGGGTCCCCGAAGGACCTCTTGTGCCACCATTCCAGCCCTGAGCACCTCAGTGCCACAGACACACCCTCCCTAAACACTGGCAGGGTCCCAGTGCCACCTGCCTCCTCCTGGGCCCCTCCACTCCCCAGGGTCACCGCTGGCTCCACCTTGGAGCATGTTTTTACTCGACCTCCCAGTGCTCCAATACTGAGCTCAGAGCAGAGGACCCCACACTGACCTACCACCAATTTCAGAAAAAAAATCCCCCAAATTGCACCTGAGGCTCCAGCTGCCCCCTGGGCCCATTTGGAACCCCTCCCTCAGAGCTTCGGGGTCTGGGTGCTACCCTCTCTTTGTCCCTTATTAGTAAGGGGTTCCTGGTGACAAGGGGGCTTCCCTAATGACCAGGGCTTGGCATCAGGACGTGAATCTGCGTCACCCTGTCTCCCTCACACAGGCCTTGTGGTGCGAGCTCCCCAGGAGGGTGATTCCCAGCACCTTCAAGCACTGGAGCTGAGCTGTGGGTTCTCTCCCTCCCTCACCTAACTGCTGCTTGGTCTCTGTCTGGAGGTCTCCAGATTTGGTCAAAAAAGTAAAGACAACCCAGTTAAACCTGAATTTCAGTGAAGTAATTTCTCAGTTGTTGTCCCATGCAAAAAATACTAGGACGTTA